CAGATTCTCTGTGACCAATCAGCAGTCGGCATTGTTTTCACGTCACATTTTAGTATCGGCTTAGCTCGCCTCAGCTCGCTTGGAACCTCGCCGGAGGTGGTACGAAAAAAAGTACCCGAAAGCAGGTACAGGTACAACTTTTACACAGTGGAAAACCAAACAAAGGCGAGTCGAGTCGAGTCGAGCCGAGCCGAGGCGAGCTGGTACTGTGTAGTGGAAAAGCGCCATAAGTTGCCTATATGCAGGAACAGGGCAAATGAGTCACAAATATCACACAATAGCACAAACACTTGAAAATACCCTGCTGTATATTGGCACCCACTCCACACATTAATATTGCAGCACTAACATACATCAAAATGCATTTTCAAAATGCACAGTCGAGGTGGACACCGTAGCTGCTTTCAGCAGAGCAGGCCAGGTGTGTGGATAAGCAGAAAATGAGTGGGCATAACCATTAAGGATCAAGGAGAAGGGGGGCGAGAGGGTGACAACCACACAGAAAGAGAGATGTCTCGCTTTTCCTCACGATGTTATGTAAAGCCCTGCAATGGGAGGCCAGTGAGTGGGCAGTCATTCCACTCTAATCCCTCACTCTTTTCAAAAGAAAAAAATGCTAGCATTCCTCCTACACAAACACACTCTCTCCGATTGCACTTCTTTCTCTCCCCTCCTTGCATTTATTCCTTTCTCCACACTTGCTCACTTGCAGAAGATTGTTTAAAACACCCTCAGGACAGTTTCGGCCCACAGGTAAGCAGCACATGGAGAGTGGTGTGGTCCTTATACAACCAGGCCTCAGCCTATAGAGACGATCTCTAGTTACCTTCATTAACTTGTGATGATAGTACCTGCAGAAATCTTTGGGCATATGACTACAGAAGTTTATCTGAGCTGTAAATGCCATCACACTGTAACCACAGGAAAATGACATCATGACAATGCTGATTGGCACCACAAGAAACACACAGTCCCAAACCTTTACTATAGCAAAAGTCTTGACATGTGATATGAAAGGCAGAACAAAGGGGAAAATAAGTACATTTCACTCCTTTAAGAGTATGGCTGGGAACCAAGAACGAGTTTTCATTCATTATTTTTACAAAATACTGGAAATTAATGACACTCAGTTTCGTTTACATACCGGATGACCAACAACTAACTGTGAAACTTAAATCAGTGAACTCAGTGACTGGTTGATACGACAGACAGCGTGTAGTCAAAGATTCATTTTAACAGTATTTTATAAAAATAAATAATTAAGGCCCTTTTTAATAATATATGTTAAGGGCAAAAAAAAAAACTTTTTGCAATTTTTTTAAATGTATTTATTTATTATTATTTATTATTCCCATTCATATTGAAGAGCCATACAGTATATACGGGGAGAAAAAATGTACTCAAAGATCAACCAAACAGTATTGCTGACTCATACAAGATGATTTTCGCAATGATATTGATGTATTAAAACTGCAAAAACTTTTTAGCAAAAACAATTAAGCATGAAGTCCCAAGCCACTCCCCTCCCTCGACATGTAAGACTGGAGGACATTTTCACAAAATTGGCAACTAACGAAACGAATCATGTGGCCGTTGCACTGCTCTTGCTCTGCCCTCTGGGACTTTGTTCTGACACGCCAACCAGTAGAACTACTTTTGCCTAGGGCTCACAACTGGAAGGGTTACAGGTAAACAAAGTTATGTAATGATCAACTTGCTAATCTTGGTTCGATGAGCCCTACCAAATCACCCCATTACACACTACCAGTTATTGCACACACTCATGAGGTGTCCATACACATTCCAGAGATAAACCGGTTTCATGGGTGTGTTGTGTTGTCTTGGAACAGAGCTAAATATGGTTCCAGGGAATTCTGGATTCCACATAGAAAACTCAAGAGATAAAGGTACTAAAAGTAAACAGAAGTAGATATACCAGATTTTTTTATATTCAAAGTCATTAAATACATAGTGTACCAGAAACGTAGAAACACCTACAAAGTGCATCTGTCTACAGTTACTCGTTCGGTCAACAGCTGGGCTGTGTGTCTTCTTAACGCTGATGACTTGACTGCATGTGCATCAGGACTGATATGTAAGCAGTGTCTAATTTCGGTGTGTTACCTCTTGACCCTGGATCAGTGGACTTCCCTCAGTCCATAATCCACAGTCACTCTACGGACAACAACACTAGATGAGACAAATTGCAAGCCCATTGTTGGCTAATCCAGGATTAGTGGCACATTTTCCAAAAATTTCCCGGGCCTCGATAATGACAAATTGTAGAGAAAATGTCAGTCTTATCTAGAGGCAAGGCATCCCCATTTACATAAAAAAGAAGTAAAACAGGTTGAGAATAAGGCCAACTGTCTCAGTATGTGACATACAACTGAAATCTCTCTGATCTGTTCTAGATATAGAGCAGAGGTTCGAGATAAATTGCTTTAAATCACCTCCAAAGGAGAAAAAGAGACCTCAGCTGTCAAGCACACTACACGGATGAAAGTTTAGGTCATGGCATCATTTTAGAGGTTAGCAAGAGATAGAATGTGTTTTGAAAAGAAATGATTAAATTGAATGAACTTTTGATTTTGAATGATTAATGTAAAGTTTCAAGTCACAATTTTCAGTCGGTTTAAGCGAGTTTAAAGACTTCAAATTCTTCAAATCAAATTTAAAAGAGAGATTTATTTCAATTGATTAAGCCTAAATTCAATCAGTTCATCATATAAAGCGATCGTGTTTCTTCAGAAAATTTGGACTAAACCACTCAATTCATATGGATTAGTTTTACGATCTCTTTATGAACTTTTTGAAGCATCAAAGTGGTAGTTGCACAGACTGGCAATGGAGGGACAGAAATCTCTCCGATTTCATTAAAAATATCTTGTGTTTCGAAGATGAGCGAAAGTCTTACAGCTTTGGAACGACATGATGGTGAGTAATTAATGACAGAATTTTAATTTTTCGGTGAACTATCGTTTTAAACATACAATCTACCTCAAGCTAAACCTTTCCTCGCCTTTCTATACTGTTCAAAACAGTCCAATAAAAAAAAATAACAAAACTCCGTCGCCATAATTTACAGTCTACAAAAAGGGACATTTTATTAGTTACCATACATCCTATAAACGCATTGAACCACGGCAAACGGCCCGTCTGCACATTGATTTCACATCAAGCATAATTCTCTCTTTATGCACCGTCCGGCATACTGTAGAAATCCCTGCAGTTTCCATGGTTACTTCACAAAAACACTCTAATGCACATGTGCCGTGCAAACTGCTGCACTATGGCTGCCAAGCATCACTGCTAATAAATGTGTGGGAGAGCCATTCTTCATAAAAGTCCTGGAACTTACAGGAACAGGTAACATGTATGCACTTGTTACAGACAACCCATTCCCATCACAACACAACACAGTTCGTCATTTCCCTGTAAAAAGTCCTTTGTCTGAGACCAAAATAGAAATCCCCTCACTTCACACATGCATGAATTGATTGGCTGGTGGTGTTTTCTACATACAGGTGCTCAGTGATGTATGTGGGTGTCAGGTGTGGGTGTGGGTGGTAGCTGCTTGTGCGATCATGAAACATCCATAACACCAATTTGAGGAAAAACACACAGGAAAGCACCATGGAAACATTTAATAATTTCATTCGATTGTCAAGCTTCCCCATAGCCGAGGAAATACCCTAGCAGCACACCTACTTAAAGATATTTCCCAGCCAGTTCCTCATCTAGTGATAGGATCTGTTATTGACAAATGTGAAAGCACTTTGTTTTTATGACATCACTCTCTGTGACCTTTTGATGTGACCTTTTAAATGTTGCCAATGCTCAATATAATCTCAAGGTTTATGACTAGCCTTGACTGCCTTCCTAAAATACGGTGGTCCACTGTCATGCCACATCTCTGTGAAATAGAGTTCCTCAGTCTAGAAAAATTACCTTGTTTACCCAAATTAATATGGCACATAAAATGACAGTAATACAACAGCTTACAGAAGCGGCCCAGATACTGTCTTTATGACCAAATTATTCCCGCAATAGCAGTGAATAACATCTGTAACCATAGAGAGATAGCGACTAAAGTAAATAACAGAATGGCTACTGCACTATATATGAGGTAACTGACAACTAGTTGTCGAGTGTGATTTACACAGCACAGGTTTTCACAAAAATGCAGTCGTGAGGCAAGACAATTTAAGGGAGCCAGTTTGGTTATATTAATTTAAACTTTACGGTCTGGTTCTATTCTGGTACAATACACCCACTTTTCATGATTTAATCAATTCCTGATAAAATTAAGTCCTGCCCTACAAATTTACTCAGAAATATATCATATTCTCAAAGTAAAATGTTTTGCAAATGCTCTTTCATGTTGATTTTTTCATGTTTAAGTTTTTAAGTTAATATGTTGTCTTAAAAACAAAATTCTCATGGAATGACACAAAAAGACAAAAAAAATATTTCAAAAATTGCAAGACGACAAAACAATTTAAACTTAATGTATAAAAGTTATTGATAGCAAGACATGACAAAACGCCCAACAATTTAAACTTGTATAAAAGTTATTGAGGAGCTCAATATCGGAACTAGTGCGATTGCGATCATGACAATTTATTTGACAATTTATTTTCATAAATAAATAATAATAATTGTGATTTACAATGTTATTGTTTATTCCCCTTATTGTGCCTGCAGTGCACTAAATGAATATCGTGCAATCCATAAACCACAACGGATAAAAAATATTTGCCATTACGCGAAAATTAACATAAAGTGAAAGTGCACGATAATTGCGGTTGCAACAACAACAACAATAGCGATAAATTGATAATCGCGACAAGCCTAGAACGATTATGTATTGTAGGCTAACACAACAACACATGCGTGCATGCATAAACGGTCATCATAGTTGTAAACAACCTGCTCTTCAAAGATCCACCAATATCTGTCAGTGGAGCATGGACAGTGGGAAAAGGGACTCATCTCACCTGTGCAGTTGCCGTACCGCTTTCCCGCCACACTATCCAGCAGCGCCAGCGCTAGATTGTCCGGAGTGTCCGCGGGGAGCGGGGTCCAGTTCGTGTCCAGGCTCGCCTCTGAGCTCTGCTCATCACTGGACAGCGACGGGCTCCTGATGTCCGCAGTGGCGGATGGCCAGCACGGCGCTTCTTCGGTCTCCGGGCTGAACACCTCTCTCGCCGGGCCGCTTTCGGGAGATGTCTCCCTGAAGAACGGCACCACACGGGACAGGCTGGCCCGCCGCCTGGATGCCCCTGTGCCGGTGGCCTTCTCCCCAAAACCACCCGCCCGAGTGAGTGCATTGGTCTGCTTCTTCAAGAATTTTTCAAGAGGCTTCATTCCAGCCGGCATTTTGATGACAGAAATCACAAGAAGGCCCTGGTTTGATTCTAATTAACACTCGATAATGAATACTGATGATAACCGTAGACGTGCGCGTGTAGGCTACATCATAGCTGGATAATGCTGGAACCCAACTCTGATTGGAAAATGCCTGAAGAATATCTTCCTCGCTGCGTTAAGGTGTCAAGAATTAAATACGGCCATTTTCAATGTTCCTTTTACACAAGTGTATGCAGATGATCGAGTCCTTACTAGGCTACCCTCAGAATAATAATAATTCAAAGAAAATCCAAACGTATCCCAGGGAAACCCGTCCTGCACTGCAGTCCTTCAGCTCGAGAACGAGAAGAAGGCTATGTAGGCTACTGTCATTGCCACTGTCAATGAAGCCTAGATCGATGAGTCAATTAGACGAATACTCAGACACAAAAATGAAAATAGGAGCAGGTAGCACTTAATAATGCATAAATCAGTCTCTGCCAAGATGCTGGACCAATTGAATCGTTTACCGCAGCAGGTCTGAGGGAAACGGGCTTTCGTCGCAGGCGAGACAGCCGACTCGATACTGAAGATTATTCCGTGTCTGTAGATCCCTGACTGGTTCGGTGGTATATCCGTATTTATTTTTCTCTCACGGTACCGAATGTCTCTGCGTCTCTGAGTCCGCACAAATACTGCGCTCCGTCGCTCTCACGTACAGTACAGGAGACTACACACCCTCTCTCTCTCTCTCTCTCTCTCTCTCTTTCTCTCTTTCTCTCTCTCTCTCTCTCTCTCTCTCTCTCTCTCTCTCTCTCTCTCTCTCTCTCTCTCTCTCTCTCTCTCTCTCTCTCTCTCTCTCCACCCGCCTTCTCTGCAGCTGAGTGCGTGTTATTGGTGGTGTGAAGAGATATTGCTCAATTGCTTTGAATCGCAGCAATTGCTGTCACAAGCTCATATATTAACGCTGAAGAACCCACGTGTGCGTCAAAGGCTGAACATTTGGATAGGCTTTTACATTTTTTCCTAATCATGCACGCCAAAATGTAACATTTACGTGGTATCGAAATATTGAATCTGTTCATTCAGTGTGCACGTGGCAATTGGTACAATACCACCATGTTTGTGCTATGTGTTTCAACGTTTGATATAATATTCGGATATTTGAATGTTAAAATGTATCCTACTTCTAAACGGTTCAAATTAATGTAAAGTACATTTTTCATTAATTTTTGTGATTTTTTTGTGATAATCAAACTTAGGTTTTTTTTTGTTTTGTTTTTAATTGAATTCCAGCACTTGTTAAATTTTAAATATTGTAATAAATGATTACAAAGGAAATCAATATATGAATACATAAAACTTTCTTATGGTATTGGTGACTAATTCTATATGGTATTTAAACTTCTATAGCCTACTCTTACTAGCATTCATGGTTCCATGAAGAACCTTTAACATCCATGGAATACTTTTCCATTGCAAAAGGTTCCTTATAGTGGAAAAAAGATCCTTCAGATTATCAAATTATTATTCACACTAAGCAAAAAAGAAGAAGAAGTTCTTTTAAGAACTGTTGGCTGAAAGGTTCTTTGGAGAACCCACAATGGTTCTTCTATGGCACTGCAGAAACTTCTTTTTAGAACCTTTATTTTTAAGTGACATTTTTGTAAGGAATGACAAAGAACATTACATTTATTTTGTGTTTCCATTTACTCTATTACAGTAGAAATAGTGTAAATAATGTGAACACAATAAGAACAGGGCAAAGTAAAATAAAAAAAGAACATCTATTTTACATGGACTTTTGTCTATCTTTTAAAGCATAAAGATAAGAGCAGCGACATTCATTAATGAAGAACCTGACTCTAAGACTAAAGTTCTGTGCTGTATCAATTACATTTGGCATGTGTCTTGTTCTCCGTAAGGTCTACAGTTAGCCAGCTGTATGGTTTCAGATTGCCCAGCTGGAAAGCACAAAAGGACTTATCTCTTTCACAACCACTTCATGAACACACACACTGCATTTAAGTGTCTTCTTCATCAAAGGCACTTATTAGTAGACACATGCCGAGACCATCAGACCTCAGGCAGGCCTGCTTGGTCGAGGTACGAGTAGCTTATAGTTGTGAGCCAATAGAGTAAGCAACTTCATTATCGGTATTAAGTTACGTTTGGCAGGCCATACATGGTGTCTTGTTCAAACGTCTGTCAGGAAACAGTATCCCAAGACACCTATGAGGGGTAAATATGGGATCCGGTGACCATCGGTGACCGCACTATGCTGGGCACTTAATTGAATAGAGAATCATTGTAAAACATGGGAATAGATACCAATTAATTTGCTTAAAAGTAAAATGCTTGAAAAATTAATGAGGTCTACTGGTTTATAAAACACATCAAACTATTATGACCTTACTTTCTTTAATAAAACTCACAAAACAAATAAAATATTGCATAAAACTCGTTTTTATGCTAGGCAGTAAAAAGGTTTAATGGGTTCTATATAGAACTCTAGGGTTCTTGACTCAATTTTAAAGAACCCTATATGCCATAAAGGTTCTAAATTGGCAGAAATGTCTTAAATTATTGCATAATGCTTTCATGTATAACAGGGTTTTTTTGTTTTGTTTTTTTAATTTAAACTAAATCCATAAAATTATCCCATGATGGGAAACCTTAAAAGGTTCAATATATGAAGCGCCTGGTAGCATTTAAGGTTCTATATAGAACTTTTTCTATATGAAGAACACTATTATGTTGTACAGCAGTAATATCTACAAAAGCATATACAGTATCTGCATTTATTTTTTTCTATTGTGGAAATGGTCCCTGATCAACAGAAGAGGGAATCATCTGCCTGATAAGATGAACTCATTCAGCTGTGGTTAGAGCTTCTTCCGCACATCATATGTGATGTCTGTACAGCAAAACCTCAGAATGGGAATTTCCGCCCTCTGTGACATCACACAAAGAAAACATGTTCAAGTTAGGCTGGGTGTAATGCACCTCAGATACATCCTACATGATCCTGTTGAATTTTGAGCATTGTGTGTGTGACTTCACTTAGCCATGTCTGCAAGCTCAAAACTGCAGGCGGGAAAACGTATAAATTTAGCTCTGCGTCAGTAGAGGTCCTCGTTGTCACCATGGAAATGAGAGTGAAACCATGCTGCAGAGAGGTGGAAATCACACATGGGGTGAACCACTGCAGTCATCCGCTGGTCACGGAACACACTCCACCGTTATAAACTTAGTGGCTTCCCCCGTTTATCTCACGGCAGGTCGTTCCTCTTTATATCCCACATCCACCTCTGTGGTTTCTGTGGTCCCTTGAATAGCCATGCATTAGGGCCGTGGTCAGATGTGGATGTGTGTGTGTGTGTGTGTGTGTGTGTGTGTGTGTCAACAGAATGACATAGTCAAGTGTTTGTCATACCATTTAGTCATATGACCTTCTCTGAAGATGACTGACATGATGTCAACATGCAGTCTGTGACTTCATCACAAGAACCCCCATAACACCATTAGACTTGCCATCAAACTGCTGTAAATGGCTGCATAATGTTTTCTGCTCTCTCAACAAGAGAATTTAAGGGGTAATGAACCCATAAATAAATCCATCTGAAGCCAGATGAGGTCCTGCAACTGGGAATGACATAAATGAATGTCAAAATTAGGAATGTACAGACATAGAAACATTGGTCGATACAATGAGGACTGTATCGTTGGTCGAAACAGAAACATTGGTCGATACTTGTGAGTGATAACTGATTATATTGTATATATTTATTTAATGTTTTATATAATGTTTCGGCTGAAGCTGAAGTATAGTATATACATATATATATATATATATATATTTGTAAGATATATTTGATATGATATAGTATATTGAAAACAAATGTAATAAATATGTATATATATACACTGTATATAGACACAAATAAACACACAAATCTATTTTTAAGCATACACACTTGTATACTATATTAAAAGTCTGATCTTTAAAAAGTACAAAATAGAACACATTTAATATTATATTTAAAATATAATAAAAATAAAATACAATTCAAATTTACAAATTATATATACAGTATTGTGTATAATAGAGAGAAAAAAGCAAGAGAGTGTGTGTGTGTGTGTGTCTGTGTAAGCTTACAGCTTATAGCTTATTTCTGTAAAGTTCACCAGAACATAATGTAAAAACTTATAATAACTCTTTAGCACTTTTGAAACCTGGCAAAAAGTTCTGTTTGAACCTGGTGAAATAAGTCCTAATATTATCAGCTTCAAATATCAGTGTTTTCAGATTTATGCTAAAAAATTATAATAATAAAAAAGAAAATGGTTGCAATTGGCCAATATAGAGTTACAATTTGTATAGCCCTACTCATAAAACCTTTTGTGTCTGCATGTTTTTATTAGTTTCCTCCTAGAAATCCAACAAAAACAGCAGTATTTCCACAAAAGCGAAAGAAGCCATTACCATGGTAATTCCATAAGCAGATTTGTCATTGTAATGAACATGATTCTCTAATATGTTTGCCTGGCAATGGAGCCCACCAGCCCTCATATGAATAAATACACCCACCCGCCCACACACACACTCACTCAGATGATGGATGACCTCAGGAGCCTAACGCACTTGCCCTGGAGTGAGGAGAACAGAGCTCACATCTGCGATGACTCATTAAATACATCCCCCCATCCCCCCTCCCTGCTGACACAACGCCATCCTTATGACATGCGTTATCGTTATCGTACACCACGCAAACACACAAGCTCAAGTACACACGCTCGCTATGTTGTCATTCTCCTTCGTGAAAAGGATTGTAATGCATTGTACGGGCGAATAAACACAACAAAACGCCAATGTCCTTAGTCAGAATACTAAGACAGAGCCTTTTATTTTCACAATAAACAATAGATCCATCATGTCCAACACTTTACTAAACTGGGAACCCCTTTAAATCTAGACAGAAGCCTTTCATGTGGAAACACACTCACTCTTTCATACACATACACACACAGAAACTAAGAAAATGTTCTAGGCCTCTAGAGTGCAGGATTATTGTGTGTGTGTGTGTGTGTGTGTGTGTGTGTGTGTGTGTGTGTGTGTGTGTGTGTGTGTGTGTGTGTGTGTGTGTGTGTGTGTGTGTGTGTGTGTGTGTGTGTGTGTGTGTGTGTACAATTTGTGCGTAAGGAGATTATCTTTAACTCATTCAACAGACCCACTTTTAAGCACTATGATATACAAAAACCCCCTTCTTATCCCGGTACACATCCAAAAACATAATTGAATGAGGAGAGCCGTTTGTCTTACCCCAGCGCAGATGCCCTCCTCCCAGTCAGTCTGGCAGATTAAGATGGTAATGTGCCCCCTGAAGAACATTTTCAAAAACACACTTTTATGGGGCTATTATTTCACTGTGATCCTCAGGCTTCACATCATATAGCTTGGCATCAATTCGGAAGCATGATATGCTGTCTTAATGTAGCTACTATAGGCTTATTGACTTATCTTAACAACTCTTTTGAATTGGAGAAATATTTGGAAAACAGAAAAGCAATTGGGTTGCCAAATGCTGGGATAAACTTCAATAAAGTTTCACTTTATTTTACAGTCCTGTTCTCGATGTACATACTATGTACTTATTATAGTAATTACAAGGTAAATATCTAGGTACCAAACTTAACCCATGTAGTTACCTTATATTAACCAGTACTTTC